CCTTGATTGCGGGTTCGAGAACATGAGGGATGCCCCGTGGGAGGTGTACAAGTCGGAGACTCGACACAGAGTGCAACGGGAGGTTGCAAAGCCGGGTTACTTGATTGAGCATACCGGAAAGCAGATTGAAGAGTTGGAACAGAGTTCTGTCTGTTTCTTCTGTTTCTTGAACAGAAGGCGAGTTGGAAATTGCTGACCGTGGGGCTCACGTGCTTGTGCCCGATTCAGCCCCTTGGCAGAGAAAAGTTGCAACCAACGAGCTTTTTCCAAGCAGATCTTTCGTTCCGTTCCCAAGCCTCTGCATGTGTAGGTTGCGTAACGAACAATCTCAGAGATCCTCAGTCCTATCGCTAATCTGTCACATCTGCACATCATTATTCATTCCAGAAGCCTCACCAAAAGCTGCATCGTGTTCAGCCAGCCACACAAAAGCAAATACAGACTACCCCGCAGTAAGTAGATCGAACACCCCAGATCTCAGAATGTGGAGTGGAGAGGGTTCGAACACTCAAACTTTAAATCTTGATTATCTATTTCCGTATGAAATCTTCGCGCTGAATCTGCCTCAACAATACTTATCCACGACCGAGAGGGGTTGTGATATGACAGTTACTCAATAGCCCATCATCACAACCTTTCTAAGCCACATTCGTCAGCTTCATCCCATACAACTCTCCATTCCACCCACAACCCGCGCCACCAACTTCTTTCAAGGGCGCTTCGATTCCCATCGGCGCCCATACAAATCTTTCTCCATTGATGCCCATCTTTGTTAGGAATTCTTCTTCGGCGCCGTCGTCGAGCTTGGCGAATGTCTGGTTTCCTCGGCCGAGGATACTGAGAGAGAACTTTTGGTTCATGGGGAGTGATGAATTGAGACGGAAGTACGAGCCGGATGCAAAGAGGGTGATGTTGGGTGTTAGCATGAGGGCTGAGTCGGCGCCTGAGACGAGGGTTGCGTTGGTGGGGGAGGAGAGGGTAATGAGGAGGAGGGAGAGGGTTAGGGTGTAGTCTCTTCCTTTCGACGAGAGGGGCGTTGTAAGAGAGCATGAGGAGTTGATAGCGATAGAGGTATTGGATATCGGGCAGTTTGTGGAGCCATCGTATCCATTGCCGGACTGGTCGGAAATCTTGGCTGATCTGTTACTTGCAGAGCTATACGCATTTCTTAGGGAATACTCCAGAATTGTAGACGACTTTGAGGGAATACTGCGCCGTAGATTCTGCCCGGGGATGGAAGGAAGAAGAGTCTGAAGTATTCCGTTGAGTTCCTCCGCAGTGAGATCACCTCCCCATTGCTTGTCTGCCAAGGCCGGAATTCCTTCTTGCCATGCATAGTAAGCTTCGGTGTAAACACTCGTATTCGCGCCGTAGTCATTCCACAACGGTGCAATCTCGCCTAGCACAAGTGGCTCGGACCGAACCGGGTTATTGGAACTGTTATGTGTGTCGAAAACGTACGGATACCACGTGCCGTTATTGGTGGCTGGGTTGCCATTAAAAGTTTTTGTGATGCTGACCATCTGCGGATAGCTTCCGGACCATTTATTGACGACGTAGAAGGTATCATCAGAATTCAAAACTGTGTATTTGTTGCGGATGTAGTCGTAAAGGGGATTGTCTTCGAAGTATTCCCAATGTTGTACCGACACATTCCTGTAAATGTTGATGTACCCTGGCTGAGTATAGTTAGGTGGAAATGTGCCCCAAATCCTGATAGTTTTATTAGATTCGGTATGAATATGGTCCGCCATTGCATTTACGAAGATATTGTAGTCGTTTACTTCAGCTGTGTATTCATCGGCTCCAATATGCACTGTCTTCGTGTGGAACCATGGGAGAAAGGTACTCCAAACCGTTTTCATGGTTGGAATCGTTTCCGGGTTGGATATATTTAGTAGGCTCAGGTCGTTCTCCAACCCAAGCTCAGGCTTCCACTGAACAAAGACCAAAGAGTGGCCGGGAGCTTCGATCTCTGGGAGAATAGTAACCCCTCGAGCTGCACACGCTGACTGTATGTTGTCAAACTGCTCCCTCGTATAGGACTCGTTCTTGTGCTTGTTTAAACCGGCCACGTCTTTGGAGTCAGACCACAACCTAAACCTAGCATAAAGTTCTAGGGATTGCTCGCGACTGTATATATCCACGTTGTTGTACAAGTTGTCGCTAAGATGTACATGAAAGGTGTTCTGCTTGAAGAAAGACATGTATGCGCACATCTCGATGAGGAACTCTGGTGGGTAATAATGACGTCCAGCATCCAGCATCATTCCTCTAGTGGCCCATCCTGGGGAGTCGATGCCGGAGCCATATGGGATAGTACCGTTGGATAGAGAGGCCTGCTGGAGGACTGTGCGTGTGCCCCACCATACTCCCAAAGGGCTTGCCCCGGTAATGGTTATTCCTGAGGATGAGACATTGAGAGCGTATCCTTCGGATGTTTCTCGCCCTGCAGCATCACGGTAGTCACTCGGGTCCCCCAGAGTGAGGAAGATGGATCCAGAGGAGGCTCTGTCACCCACATGAACTGACGGTTTGAGGTGCACAGATTTCAGGTCGCTTGCGAAAGTTTCGGCGAAAGATTTAAGAGTTGGAGGGATAAAAGTATCACCCCTTTCATCAATAGTCTCCGCATATTTGGCATTGATGATGATGGAGTCAATGGTGTTGAGTTTGAGCCCACTATCGGTGGAAGTAAAGTTTAACGTCGGGATCCCCAACAAGCGAGCTATGGCGCTTAACGCAGGGAAAGTTTTTATGGACTGCGTAGGCATACCTTCTATTGAAGTCACAAGAAGTGGCAAAGCCAAATGTAATATCCAGATCATGTTCATGTGGAGTTATGGGGATCTCTCTGCCATCTGCCATCATGGTGCCCACCACATATTTACACGGAGCCATTTCAATGACATCCGGATACTGAAGCTTGTTTCCCTGGCATGCAACTTGATTATATGCTCTCTAGAGATCGCCCTTTGATTCGTTCGTCCATGTAATCTTTAAGGCTGGGAGCGGGGTGAGAACCGTCGCAGCGGCTCTTCGCCAGAGAACATTTTGCCCCCACTGAACACTACGAATATGAGATATAACGGAACAGAGTTTGCATTTCGGTCCTTCAGATCGATTAGGCGATACCGGAGATTTTGTTCACGAAGATAGGTGGTGAAACGGATGATGTAGTGAGGCTGAAACCTAGAGAAAGCCTGTGGATCTGCCCCTGGTCGGGTCAAAAACTGCCGAGAGCCCAAGCTCCCGTCGTCATCAAATGCAACTCTATAGCCCCTGCTCTATTCTTCGTGATGCGACTCTTCCATGATAATCGCGCAAATTCGGCCTTATTGATGAATTCCTCCGCTATTCGCGCCATCCCTCCAGCACAATGACGAGCCTTGATCACACTGCCGTCTCCTGATGAAAATCTGTCCCTCGTACGTTTACATCGTGCTCATGTTCTTCTAGTTAGGATGAGGGTTTATTTCATACAGACTGCTTGTTTGCTCTTAGAGCTTTCATCATCATCAGCTGTCGCCTCCCCATCGCTCACAATTTCGGCTGCCGCCCCAGCCTTCACGTATAATCGCACCAACTTTCTTCTCCATGGCGAGCCCCATCAGATCATTGGGGGTCAAATGGATCCTCAGCGCATCCCCCCAGCTTACTGGCGGGATAGACTGCAGAAGGCTCGCGCAATGGGATTGAACACAGTCTTTTCATACGTCTTCTGGAACATGCTAGAGCCAATTCAGGGAACGTGGAGCAATACTGGGGAGAACGACATCGCCGCTTTCTTTCGCATTGCGCATGAAGAGAATCTTAACATTGTGTTGAGGCCCGGGCCATACATTTGCGGGGAACGTGATTGGGGAGGTTTCCCCGCGTGGTTAGCCACAATACCAGGCATGGTCGTCCGTTCAAACAACGAACCGTTTCTCAAAGCTGCGAAGTCGTACCTTGAGAGGCTGGCTGGGGACATCCACGCCCTTCAGATCACTCGTGGCGGACCTATCTTAATGGTTCAAGTCGAGAACGAGTACGGTTCATTTGGGAACGACCACGACTACACGTCTGCCCTGAGAGACATGCTACAGGCAAATTTTGAGACGGTCCTGTATACCAATGATGGAGGCGTGGAGTGGACACTGGAAGGGGGCTCAGTCCCTGGCGTCCTAGCCGAGGTTGATGGAGATCCCAGCAGCGGATTTAGCTCGTTGAGGAAGTATATCACGGATCCATCTCAGCAAGGACCACTCCTAGATGGAGAATATTACACCTGGGCCCCAGATCAATGGGGTTCATACAATCTGCACAATGCCAGCGAAGGCCGTCCTGAGGTGGTGGAGCAATTCATGAAAGATCTGGACTATGTACTCAGCAACGAGTCTGCTTCAATCAGCCTCTACATGTTTCACGGCGGGACCAATTTCGGTTTCAGTAACGGTGCGCTGTGGCAGAACCGAACAACAGTCTTCACCTCAAGCTACGATTATGGCTCACCTCTAGATGAAAGTGGTCGCACGACTAATTTGTATTCCACCTTCCGTGATACCATCCAGAAATACGTGCAACAAGGGAGCATTCCGGATGTCCCTCTCAATGTCCCACGGATGAAGATTCCAGAATTTGGTCTCATGCCGGCGATGGGACTCTTTGACCTCCTGGGCCCAGTGACCACTGCAACCTTTCCACTTACTATGGAAGGTCTTGGCCAGGCATACGGATTCACTCTGTACGAGCATATGGCAATAACATCTGTGGATGGTTTTGTACAACCTGGGGATCGCGCTCGGGACAGAGTTCTGGTCTATGTTGACGGGGCGCTGAAAGGCGTTATCGACAGCCAATATCAACGTCCGTTGAATGTGAGTGTTCATCTGACTCCTGGTACCAAGTTGCAGCTCCTTGTTGAGAACCTCGGTAGAGTAGACTACTACTCGAGAGAAAATCCTTATCGAAACTACGTGCAAGATCCTTACAAAGGGATTTTTGGAAACGTGACTATCAACGGGGTGGCTCTGGAAGGCTGGGATATGTATCCCTTGCCACTTGTAGATGTCTCCAAAGTCAAGAATACTACTATGACGCCGTCCAGCTACTCAACACCCCTTTTCTATCGTGGTACCTTCAGCATTAGCAGGCCTGCTTCTACGCAGCTTGCGGAACTGGACACATTTCTGGCGATTCCGGCTGGCGTTAAAGGAAATGTGTGGGTGAACGGATTTCATCTCGGACGGTACTGGCGCGTGGGTCCTCAGCAATCCTTATATCTTCCAGGAACTGTGGTCAAAGCAGGTGGACAAGTGAATGAGGTTGTCGTGCTCGAGCTGGAACCTAGCAAGACTCATGGTCCGATGACAGCTGTAGGACTGAATGAGCGGATGTGGGGAAATGAGTTAGATCAGGATTGTTTACAATGTGTTTAAAGCCTGCTTGTGCTCGTCTGGTGTCCAGTACATATGTAAGTCAGCGCGTTGTAGTTCATTATGATATTCTATTCTTCTAGTAACTTCTCTTCTCGTCTAGTCACAATAAGCGCCCATCCCCAATATCCTGTGAAGTGGTACTATGCCCATTCTCGAATTTCACAGTCACCTCCAGCCCATTGTAAATTCACTATGTGAGACATTGGAACTCAGTGACTGTACCAGCCGGCTTTTCCCGACCATTCTTTATCTTATGACAATGTTCCACTTCACTCGAATATAAAACTCCCTAAGATCTAGTTTGTAAAGGCCTTATCTTCTTGTATTCTCTACCACACTAGGAAATTAACTTCTCCCCTACCCACTTCAAAACTACAAACAACCGACCAAGAAAACGATCATGTCTCGACGCACTAGTGAGTTCCGCACTTGTCAAGACTTAGCAAATTCCTTCTCCTCAGACGATGACTACGATCAACGCGATCAACACCGAGGTGGCAACCGTCGCGACCGCGAGTCTATTTCTGATCTTTATGGAGATGGCCACCGTCTAGGGCCTAGTGGTTTCACATTGGGACGTTTCGGAACGTCTTTTTCTACCTCCCTTGGGCGTGAGCGTCATCGCGAGGGATATCGTGATAGAGACCGAGATGGGGCTCAGCTCGGTGTACGCGATACTCTACGAAACCTATTCTCTACCTCTGCAGATGGGCTGCGGGAGGTTAGGCATGATGGTACACCCCAAGGTAGGTATGGTCGTAGCAGCCGCCATTCGGATCGACTAGATGTTATGTTTTGCTCTCGGAACCAACCGCGTTCTCCCCGCGAGGATACCCGGAGACATCGTCGTTCGTTGTACCCCCCTGAGTGGAACCACGATAATCGTAGGAGTAGGAGTGGAGATGAATCTGATTCATTTGGGTTTGCGAGCGTACCTACGCGTCAGCTTGAGGGTATGCTGAGGGATATTCGGAATGGACACTCTGGCAGAGACGACCACTGGGGCAGAGACGACCACTGGGACTGGGATTGGGACCGGGACAGCGACAGGGACCGAGAGCGGCATCGTCGTCCTACGCACTCTGCTGAGCGAAGCCATGATAACAATAGAGACCGGACTGGATACCTACCTGGCCCTTTTGGTTTTGCTAGTATGTCTACAGAGCAACCTGAGAGGATACTTGATGACGACCGGCGCGCTGCCCACGGTGGCAACCGGAATGGTACTAACTACGGGTCCTCTTCCCGCCCTCGACCTCGCTCCCCATCACGCTCGCATAACCGCGAAGATGACATCCTACCCTTTAGCCGGCGGCGGGCTCGCGAAACCCCCGAACTCTTCTCCAGCTCCGAATTCGACGAAATCCTCCAGGATATGGAAACAAGTCGCGGCCACTACCGCCTAGACGGTAACAGCAACACATTCTCCGGGCGCAATCCCTCTCGCGCCGCAGCCCTAACCACAGCTTCCACCCAGCGCCTGAATCCCACGACAGCAGATTCAACTATCCCCACTGACCTCGAGGATGTCCCACTCATCGCAACTGGCGCCCGCATCGACACCTCGCGCTATACAACCGCGGTGCGGAATCCGCCTGCCGGCGAAACTTGTGCCATCTGCCTTGATCTAGAGAAAGACGGTGATGGGTTGCGCAAACCGCAGGGTTGTGAGCACCTGTTTCATCTGGGGTGTTTAGATGAGTGGGTTAATGGTATTGCCGCTAATAGTAATCGGTGCCCCGTATGTAGGAAGTATTTTACGCGCAAGCGGAGGGATGTTAGGATGGGGGGATAGAGTGTTTCTTCGGACGGGGCTCGAGGTTGATGAAGGGCTGTGTATTAGGATTGTGTTGGATAGGTAGGTAGCGCTGAACAGGCTGTGGATGGGTGGCATATGCGAAATGGGTAAGCGTGTAGCATAGTGGTGGACGCATAATGATAAGATATATTTCGAATATACCAGCCTCTTTCATTTTCTGTGATTTTATGTTGTGTCTTGATTTACCTACATTTACCTACAGTTCTAGTGTTTTCTGAAAAAGAGCTAGCGTCCATCCCTGCAAGCAGGGTTGTTATTAATAATTTAATTCATTAGATTAACAACGTCCTTTCCTTCGTAGCGAGACACCCTGTGTACCGAGACAAATAAGGGGTACTGTAACTTCCAGTAACTGCAAAGCCTCTATGCACAACAAGTGTTGCTATAGTTCTATAAAAATAATCTACTGTAGCTAATCCTAAATGCCTGTTATCTAATCTTCCCCAAAAATTACGTTCTCATTGTTTCCTACAAGCCTTATTTGTACAGCATCTTTTTTCGTGGCGCAACAGACTTCCCTCCTCACAGCGCCAACGTTAAGCCTATACCGCTCCAGATTTTTGTAGAATAGCCTTGTCCAAGCCCCAGAGCTTTTCTTTAATACTGGGGAGTCATCGTCAGCCATATGCACGCTGCAGGGCGCAATTCATGCAGGGTCGCCAGGCCGATCGGTACCTCAAGCAGAAGCGAGCTACTAATTCTAGCTAATACAAGATGACTTTATGCACGTTCACCTCATCATCCGCAGGTAATTTACTGTAAGATCTATAGCTATGCGAATCGCACGAGTGCTCAGATTATAGTTAAATCCAACCTAGGATTAGGAGCAGTGCTAAGACACGGCTCCAGCACTTGTGTAGTCAGCCAACGGATTCCTAACGTCGAAACCAGCTTTGACACAGCCATTCTACACACTTCGAGATGCAGTCTAAAGCGCAGCAATACCTACATTTGAAACATGGAGACATATCATCACGTCGCCCTCAAGCGCCGAAATCCGCTGTTGTCTCATCGAGCCACGGATGCGTGTACCTTCCCTGTGGTAAGCAACAGAAATACTTACTTGAGAGCTGTACTAAAATTGTAGGACACCCATTTTGCAAGCCTCACATTACAGAGTGGTTCGAGGCGTCAGGAGGGAGGACATGTCCAATGTGCAGACAAGACGTTCCTGAGGACGCACATTTTAAGAGAGATGGCGCATACATGCTTGGTTGGCCGCGCAGTTTTTCGTGAGGCAACTTAGCTAATATTAGATTGAAGTTAATAACAGCCTTTGTCCAGTTGTACGATGCTCTTGTCGAGTTCGGCAAACGATTGACGAAGACGCTACTTGGAAGGTTCATCGGGGACCGGTGAATTATTTTGCCGATGGTGATGACTCCAGCTCCGAAGAATTTCCGGCTTGGCTTAGTCTGCACTACGCCTTCAGCACTTCTTCGCGTCCCTGCTTTCTCTTTCCTTACAACCTCCCTCATCTCTCAACAAAGCCTGAAACCTGGCTCGCATCGTCTTATAACCTCTCTTTGATATCCTATCTCTATAGATTTGCGCCGCTCCTTATTCAGCTGCCTTTTATGTCGCCTTGTTCATTGACTACCTCAGCGCCTCGTTCTTCACGCTTCCTCACCATGGCAGACGGGTCGAGTTTAGAGGTAATCAAGGCAAACCCCATTAGCAAAGGACTAAATGCCTTTCTTACCTCTTTCGAATCCACCTGCAGAGATCTGGGTATCTCAGGGCCGGACGGGCTGCACAATATTGGTGGTGAAGGTACGGCTCATTACCAACTCGCGAAAGTCCCTAACATTAAAAGGAACCAAAAATTGCCTCCTTGACCTTATATCAGCTTTGCTGGTTCTCCCTGCATCTCGTTCACTGCCTTCTAAGGGTAATAACATAAACCTCTTTGGCGATCTGTTGGAGCTGAGCTCAGCGATCAACTCCGGCAACTTCAACACCAAGCATATCATACCGCTCCTCAGAGCGGTCCTTAACAATGAGCCTGATGAAGTCATCTGGAACAATGTCTACGCCGCTGTTACCGCGTCTACGGCTTTCACAATCGTCAAACCCACAACTCCTCCGCTGTCCGCCCCCTACCTCACCGCCTCCTTCCAGCAGACGCCATGGCAGCACAACACGGGCAGCTTCGCGAACTCCACCGAACACCGCAAATATGTGGATGGCGTGCTGAAGGAGGAATTGGGACAGCTGTACGTCGAGGTCCCTGGTTTCTTCGATGCCTACTTTGGAAGCGTCCTGGGCCTGAAGTCGGTAGCGCAGGCCGTGTTCGACAAGTGCAAAGAAGGGGATAATCCGCTCTACCAAGAAGAAGGCGGTTGGCAGGGCTGGCCTGAAGGCGCGAGGGAACGTGACGTCTTAAGCTGGTTTGCGCCGCTTACCGGCCAGCTCTTAGACTTCGCAGCAGAGAGTCAGCCCGTCTCCAGGCCTCGACGGCGGCCGCTGGCACAGCCCCACCAGCCCGTGCAAGGCTCCACCGCCGACCGCAAGTTAGACGTCGGCTTCGTAGACGACCCGAGCGCCTGCGTTGACTCCAAATGCCACTGGTCGCAGATCCTCATACCAGGAGAACTCAAGAGCAATCCATCGGCCGACATAGCCTCCAAAGCATGGCTTGACCTAGGGAGATATGCGAGAGAGGTGCTCGCTGCTCAAGACAGCCGCCGCTTCGTTCTTGGCTTTACACTGTGCGGATCTCTTATGCGACTGTGGGAATTCGACCGGTTAGGGGGCATCGCGTCCGCGCAATTTGACGTCAACGAAGATGGACTGCAGTTCGTGTCCGCTGTGCTTGGGTTCCTGTGGATGAATGAGGAGCAGCTTGGATTTGACCCTACTATCATCACTGCCGGGGACAAGCGGTACATCGAGATCGAACGGGACAACCACACAGAGCGACTCATCATTGACAAGGTCATGAAACGCGTGCCTTGTGTCGCTGGTCGAGCAACAACCTGTTGGAAAGCCTATCGTGAAGGAGACAATACGCGAGCACCCCTTGTCATCAAAGACTCATGGCAATACCCGGAACGAGAGGAGGAGGGCGAGTTACTACAGGAGGCGACCGACAAAGGCGTGGTCAATGTCGCGAGATACTATCACCACGAGACGGTCTGCGTGGGCGGCCAGGACGACGACATCCGCGTGAACGTGCGACGAGGCCTAGACATAACGAAAGCGAAATACTACAGGCCGGAAAGCTTGATGCCGCCTCCAAGCACAGCTGGACGTCGCGTTTCGCGGATAGGCCGAAGCAGCAGTGTTGCCGGGCGCAAGCGGTCCTCCAGCTGCACCGGCGCACCGCTGCCACCTACCAAGCGAACCTGTTCAAGCTCTCCAACAAAGGGCGGAAGGGCGACAGCAAATCGAGTGCGTCGTCGCGTCATTGTCCGTGACTACGGGAAGGCTATCTACAAGGCAAGCTCCCGGACTAGTCTTCTTGGTGCGTTGGAAAGCTGCATTGAAGGATACGAGTCGTTGCACACACGAGCTGGTATGCTACAATGCGATATCTCACCAAACAACCTCATGATGAACGAAGAGGATGATAACCCCTCCTGGCGCGCGTTTTTAATTGACCTTGACCTTGCCATTAAGGAGCAGCGGGAGAAATCTTCAGGGGCCCGAGGGAAGACCGGCACACGAGCGTTCATGGCGATTGGAGTGCTTCTAGACGACGAAAAGCATTCGTTCATGCATGATCTGGAGTCGTTCTTCTGGGTGTTATTCTGGATTTGCATTCACTATGATGGGCCGGGGCGAGATATTGGGGTGACTGAGTTTGAGAAGTGGAATTACGTGAGTATGGAGGAGTTGGCAGATTTAAAAGCAGGGCTAGTCGGCAGAGAAAGACGTTTTCTGAACCGGATCAACAAAGCCTTCACACCGTACTACTGGCCGTTGATCCCATGTGTAAATAAGCTGCGGAAGGTTGTCTTCCCAATGGACAAACCGTGGGAGAGAGAAGATAGGACGCTCTACATGCGGATGAAGGTGATTCTTCAGGAAGCGAGAGAGAATTTAGAAGGCTCAATCGAATCACAACAGGAGGATAAGTAAGCATCAAAGAGAAGTGCATAATTATGGGCTGTGCTTTCATAAACCCTTGTTAAGCTAAGCCCGTTGTTGGTGGTTAAAGCGTTCGCTCCTGCCAACTTTTCACCCAAGCAAGCTTACACGCAGGAACTTTGAATTCTATTACCTCCCACTTGCAACTCTAAGCTCTCTACATAAATTAAAATTTTCTGCTACTTCTTAGGATAGGACAGGGTTAGATAATCCTAGCCCTGAGATTAAAGGAAGTTCTAAAAGTTGAAGGCAAGCTTGGGGAGATTCTGTTACGGATATCTTACCTCGACTTTCCTATTACTAGGTGCCTTCGGACGGTAACTTGGTCTTTGAAGGGGATGGAGAGGGGATAGAGGGAGAGAGAGGAGAGGGGGTGTTTGGGAAAAGGTACGTCACGTAATACTCAACTTACAATGGCGTGTGGAGGGTATACAATCCTCCGTACAATCCTTGTGGAGTAGAGGTGAGGTAGGAGGGTAGTAAAAAGTAGGTAAAAAAGTAGCAAGATAACTAATATATTTTATACTCTTATAAATAGAAAAAAGTCTTCTGCACGCTTCTAGTTAAGAAGGATATTAGATATCTTGCTATACCTAAGGCTGTGTGACGGCTCGGACCGCGTCACATGCATGCTGCCTCGACCCTGGCTTACCCCTGAGCTTAGCGCCTTGGCAAGAGTTTGACCTTCAAACCGCGAAGCAGCTTCCTCTGCTCCTTAGTTTAATCTAGTCGAATTACCTCCCCTCTTGCTTGTTGCTTGAGCGTGCCGAGCGTGACAGGCTGTGCCTTGTACAGTAAGAATAACCACAACCCCCTAAAGGTGGTGGGAAGTTAAGACTATATACCTTGGGTGATTGCACTAATCGCAACTTCTAAAAGTGATCGCAGAATATTTCCGCAATTACTGCGATTGTTTGCTAAATCCTGCAATTGCTCTCCTAACCTATAGATATGCGCTATACCTGTTCTAGAGCATCACGTGGTGTGACCTCTGCGGGCCGTGCCCTCACCAGCCTCGGTCCGTCCTTCCTCCGTGGGGTTGGAGACTCGCATGTTCCTCTAGCCTAACCAATGGTCGTAACAGTTTTAGACCTTCTAATATGTACTTAAGCTTAGATTAAAGGTTTTCTAAAGCAACTAGAACTAGAACTAGTTACACTAAAGAAGTTTGCTTGTCTCTATAAGTAGCTACATAACATAAATTATATAAAAGAAAGCGGATTAAAGTAGAAATAGCCTTAATAGTTTAGAAAAGTCTACACTTAACAGCTTTAAAAGAGTTTAGAGCGCGCAGTAATAGAAAGAAGGCAAAGAAGCAGGTGTAAGTGTTACAATCCTTGCTTCGTGGAAGCACTCAGGTCTTATGATATTCCTAGGGGGAAGTAGGACAGGTAGTAGGGGCCAACCAGTAGGGTGTACAGTCCTACGTGCAGGCTAATAGGCTATTAGAGGGGAGTAGGGTAACTAGATTATAGTTTGCCCTTAATGCAGCAGTAAAAAGGCTAGGTTAAACAGTCTTATTAGATAAAGTTAAAGGTATATATAGTGTAAAATATATAAATAGTATTATAGCTTTTTAGAAAGCTAAATGCTACTTAGTCTATGTAAAGAATAAACTAAATGTTAAACACACCTTCTAAAGGTTGTTTAATAAGGGAACTATATACATATGTTAGTAACGCTAAAGGGAGCAGAAAAAGTTTATAGAAGCCTACTAAAAGAAGCTTTATAAGCTCCCTAGAGCTCCCTAGATTTACAGCCTGTTTTCTTATTAAATAACATATTCTTCTATTACTACAGGTAGCTGTGCTGCGTCTGTGTCCTCTAATTAGTTTATAAGCAAGCCCTGTTCTAATCTAGCTAGATTGTAGAGCACTGCTAGTAGAGTTACACTAGTCTAACTGTAGACTGTAACACGCTGCCCCTTCTCTCTAGCAGCGTCCTTACTGCTCTGCTTACACAACTGTGTTAGTAAAAGTTTATTTATAAAGTAAGTGTTTACCTACTAAAAAGCATCCTTAACATCTATTTTTTTTAAACTAAATAGCTTACTAGTCTTATTTTTACTATTATTTTTATATTATTTACTATTTTAATTCTTTTTACTAGATAAAGATAAAGCCTTATAGTGCTTACTAATTTTTAGAGTTATTTTATGTGTTAACTTTATTCTTAGACAAGTGTGTTAAGTGTGTAAAAAAGTATAATAAGTGCAACACCTTTATTTCTAATGCTGTGTAAGATTAGTTAAAGAAGAAGAGAAAAACACTTCTATAAAAAGCTATAGCTATAAAAGCCTAGAAGTAAAAGCTTAAAGAAGAGATGTTATATTAAGTTTAGGCAACTTTAGAGGCAACAGCTAGGGAGCGTTTTAAGTAGGATTATATCTAAAAATTACTAAATTTATTAGAGGCTTAATGTGTAAAGTACTTAAAAAAAAACCTTTTTTTCTTAAATAAAATAAAAGCTTTTAAAGCTAAAGTAAAAAGTTACTTTTTTTTATAGCCCTTATTAGCTAGGACTTGTCTTTAAAAGCTGCTGCTATCTAGTAATAACATAGCTATTTTTTTTTAATATAAGTGCCTTATTACCTAGCTAGTTTCTTTTAGATAAGCTTAAAAGTACTTTTATACTAATAGCTGCGCGTTCTATAAATTCTTAGCTAGTTTTTATATATTTTTACTAGTAAGCTACTTTTTTTATTTTACTAAAAATTTCTTTTTATTTTTTTAATTACTTATAATATGCTTAACTTTATATTCTGTTTCCTTATCTTTTTATTTTTATGTAGATAAAAGAATTTCTTTAGAAGCTATCTTTAACTTAAAGATGTAGAACTAACGTACTTCATAGGCGAGTCGCTCACACACCCGAGTCGCTTACTTTTGCCAAGACCCCACCCTAACAAACTCTATTATAGCCTATAACAACCCGCTCTAGCACTATATAGTACAGTACAGCCTAGAATATTATTTAAATACTACTTCTGCTTCTTACTTACACATTTGCGCGTTATGCCTAGTCTAATTGCACTATCTGCAGCGCCTTTAGAATAGCTTACTTACTTTAGCTTACACCTGCTTTTTTGCCTTCTTTCTATTACTGCGCGCTCTAAACTTCTTTAAAGCTGTTAAGTGTAGGCTTTTTTAAATTATTAAGGTTTTTTTTACCTTAATCTACTTTTTTTTATGTAATTTATATTATATAGCAGCCTTATTAGCTACTTAAAGCTTAGTAATTTCTTATTACACTAACACTAGCTTATGCGTAATTATTACTACCCCTTTTAAGACTTTTTTAAACACCTTAACTATAAAAGTTAGTAAACTATTTATATACTTTTAAATTTTTATCTTTATAAGCATTAATTATAACCTAAGTTCTAAAGTAGTGCTTAGGGTTTACAACTACTAGGGCTTATTATATATAAGTAGTAGTAGTAATAGAGTGCGCAACTTTACATTAAGGCCTATTATAACTTATTATAGGTTAAAAAGAACTAATCTAGCGCCTTAAAACCCTCCTTAGATATTACTAAAAGTAATTATAGCATTATAAGCTACTTTAAAGCATAGTAAGAACTTTATTTTTATAATATAAGTAATCTAGTTGCGCATAAGGTTTTTAGCTTAGCGCTTATATACTTTCTTTAAAAAAGTAAAACAACCTACATTAAGTAGCTATAAAAAGTGTAATAAGTAAAAAGGCATGTAGATAGTAATAATTTTATTATCTTTATAGTATTACTAGAAATAAAGTAAGTTATAGCTTTTATAGCTGTTAATAACTAGCAGATAGTAGCTGCTAACAGTATGCTTTTTTATATGCATGTTAAAGTGCTTTAACTAGTCTAAACTAAGCTAATTAGTAGTCTAGCTACACTTAAAAATTATAATAACCTAATTCTAAAGTAGATTTTCCTTTTTATACTAGTTTAAAAAGTAGTTGCTACCTTAGAAAATAATAAAAAGCAGAATAGCCTACCCTTTAGCATTAATGCCCTAGATAGCTGTTGTCTACTCCTAGTTGCCTAGCTAGACTGCTTTTAGCTGTCCTTATCTCTCTAAACCTGTAACAACTGCTCTAGTAGATATCTAGCCTATTATAAACCCTATTTTATTAAAGTTGTACGTGTTGTTATTCTAGATGCTATACTTAGCTTTAATATTCTTTATAAGGTTAAACTAGCTTTAAATTACTATAGGATTTTTATAAAAAGCTTTTTTATAGTTATACTTACACTTAAACTTTACTTTAAGCTTTAGGTAACACTTAACAAACATATTAGGCTAGTTTATGCTTAGCGCGTAAAGAATTAGCTATATTAGCCATAGCTGCTAGCTAGGGGGGAAATCCTTGCACATCTAGCTTAAGTATGTGCTAAATAATTACCTGCTTTTTGTTATTATCTAGCTTCTATAAGTTAGCTGTATAATTAGCTTAAAAAGGTTGTCTAGCACGTTAGTTGCTTATTATCTTTTAAAGGACTCTGTAGATAGCTGCAGTGCGTTAGTTAGAAAGTATTGCGTTTTATTTAAAAGCCTAAAGTGTAAGCTGCATCTAACATTTTTTTAACACATTTAAGTAGTGTTATTAGAAATACATTAGTGTAGGAAAGGTAGTGTAGTAGGGTCTTAGCAAAAGTAAGCAACTTAGGTGTGTGAGCAACTCGCCTATGAAGTACGTTATAGGTGTATCTTTATATGTAAAGGAAGCTTAAGTTTATAATTATCTTATTAAGTTTATAGAACTTTATATAGTTTTTTTTTTTTTTTACTAGCTTCCTAGAAGGTCTAGGTATCTTAAAGTTCTTAGTATTAAGATATACATAGTCCTCTAGATAAATCTTTAGTTTTAGTTATTATAATTTATTTATGTATTTTTCTATTATTTCTTTACTAGTTCTAGCTTCTATTACTAACTTTTTATATATATATTATAAATTTATTAGCTAGTCTATTAATTTCTATAGGTCTGTAGGTTAGTTTCTTTATAGTATAAAGTAAAAGTTATATCTAAAATTAGCTT